TTCGCCTTATCAGATCGTTCGTTGTTTGATCTTATCTTCAATTTCTCTGTATCTAATTGGACTCTGTTAACAACTTGAATCGACTATTGTGGTAGAACACTATTGACGAGCTAAAGACAAGGTTAGATGTGTCCTTGCAGTCAGTTTATTTTGTCTTTCTCTTTTTTCTTCCCGGATCATGCATCAATGTCAGTTTATGTTGATCGTATAGATATACATACATATGTCTAAATTTCAGATGTAATGTGACAAGGAAATCTTTCTAAGAATAATAAACTATAACTCGACTGATAAAAAACAAATGGGTTCGACATTAGTTGAAACAATTAATATCAATGCCAAAGATTTCACCGAGCATTTTTTAACATGTTCAACTTGTATTAATCAATTCTCGTCGAATTCGAACGAACATCAACCGAAATTATTACCGTGTTCACACACTGTCTGTCGACAATGTTTAGAACGAATTGTCAATTCTCAACCGAGATCCGATGCAATCAAATGTATGTACAAGTAACTTAGTAACATAGTTCGCTTCAACACATTGTCGTTTTAGGTCCTATTTGTCGCGAACATATTCTCTTACCTAGAGGTAATTTTCTTGCGTAAATAAGATAAAAAACAGCATAGAATCTTTTTCAAGGTGGCGTCACATCTTTTCCACCGTCATTTATTGTCAATCAGTTGCTTGATCTGTTAGTCCGCTTACGACGTGATGTCATTCCAAAGTGCACTTATCATACGAATGAAGAATTACTGTTCTGCGAAACATGCGATAAAATTTTTTGTCAATTATGTGATCAACATCAGATCTCAGCTGAACATACTGTCGTGCCATTTTCCTTGGCAATCAAACGCATGAATGAAATCTTGTTTTTCAAAGCATCTAAAAGTAAGCGAGAAAATATATTCAAGTTTTCAATATGCAAATGATGGATTTTTTGTTTTGAAACTTGACTGACAGATATTAACTTTGACTTGACAACAGTTATTGCATATGTCGGAATGATTAACGCAGATTTCCATTTGATAGAATCGAAATATTCTTCTTCTTCTTTTCTATTTATAGCTCTTAGTTGTTTGGATAACGCACTCGAAGCAGTGAACAATGAAATCACACGACTTGATTGTAGTATGGACAAAGCTGGTAGATATTTCTCTTTGGAAGTACCAGTCCGTTGTTGCAAACAGGTTTTTCGTTTCTAGCCGAAGCGATCAATCGATCATTTACTGAAATAAAAAGTTATGTCGACAATCGTCAAAATAATCTTTTGCAATCATTGAAAACGACTCGAGATTATAAATTAAAAGTACTTAACGATCAGTTAAATGTCATTTTAAGTAAGATTATTTGTTTGGAAGAAATTTCTCTTTGCATATAAGTTGATTTTAGACGAGAAAACTAAAATCGAACAAGAATGTGCTCTTTTTCAACAAGCATCCGATATTCATATTCTTACCCAACGTATTCAAGAACTGAACGATCGAATCGAACGAATGTCTCTCTTGGGCGAACCACGTGAAAATTCTTTTATGAAATTCGAATTTCGACATAATCAAGCTTTACAAGATCTGGCACGTTCATTGAATAGTATTGGTCGTATACGTGTGTCATCAACATATCCACCACTATGCCGAGCAAAGATTGAGCCAGCAGTAGCTAATCTTCAATGCGCCATACACATTGAAACGGTTGATTATAATGGCAACGCACGCGTCGATGGTGGTGATCCATTAACAGTTAATATTTGGGATCCGTATGGTAAATTATGTGAATATAATTTTCATGATAAACAAAATGGTATTTATACGATTATATTTCGACCGTTGATTAGTGGAAATCATAAGATTGATATAAGAATATTTGATCGACCAATAGCAGGTTCGCCATTTATTATCGATGTCACAAAACACAATAATCCATTGTGGTCATTTGGTAAGACTTGCCTTTTTGAGATATAAGCATTTAATGAGATTTGCTTCTCATTGATTATTCAAGGTAAATGTGGTCGTGGTGAAAATGAATTGTCTATGCCGGTGAAAGTGATTGTGGACGATAGTACTGAACGAGAACAAGTATATGTACTCGATCCAGGAAATAGTCGAGTAAAATGTTTATCAACAGAAGGAAAATTTATTAATCATCTTGGTAAACTACCACTGATTTCACATGAGCATATTCTCGATCTGCTCATTTTCTATTCTAGCAACTGATACACTCCTAGAAACGACCAGCACTGGCCTTGCTTATCGTTCTTCAACCTCAACATTTTACTTACTGGACTGGAAAAGTAAATTGATAACTGAATTTTCCATAGTCAACTCTGATCCATCATCATCACCATCAACTCCGAATAGTCAGATTAATATCCATAATCAAATCACATGTTCATCTTTTGATGAGCCTGTTCAAATTGCTTTATTCGAACATCATCCAAATTCTTTACTTATCTTTGACAATAACATATTCTTCATCGTTGACAATCGTACTGGTGATCTAATTAATAAAATTGATTTACGTTCATATGGGATTAAAACTGTCAAAGGCTTTACTATTGGTTTACAAGATGAAATTATTGTTGGTGATCATCGCATACATATTTTATCTTATGAAGGCAAATATCTACGTCAAATAACATCGCTAACGCCCCAACAGATCGTTGATGTTGATGTTCATATTACCTATCAACCGCCTGATTTAATTTCATCTCATCATAGACAATTACAAACATCAGTATCACTTCCCTCACATTCGAAGCCTATGCCTGCGTTGACATCGAAAGGAGGTAAATAGAATATTGCTGTCGAATTTATTCGAATCTTTATCTTTCAGGCTTTTATACGGCATTATGCGTGGATAAGAATGGCCTTCTCTTAGCTGGAAAATGTGAAAAAGATGGTACTGCACGTATTGAGATTTATGATAGTCATGGTCATTTATTACGTATTATTGATTCCCATTCTAATCGATTACGACGTCCATGTTCATTGGCAACAACACGTGACGGATGCGTGCTTTGTGTTGATTTAACAACAGATTCAATACGAAAATATCGCTACACTTAATAATGAAACTCCCTTTTCTTTTTTGAGTTTAACGTTTTGTTTTTCCTCTCTCAGGTTCACTTTTTCCATGTTTCAATCCGTGTGTGTGTGTGTGTCAGATAGTGAATCTTTTCTGTTCCTAAACATAACGTTTCTTTGTTTCTTGTTTCTTGACGTTCGCTCTCTTTCTCTCTGTCTATATCAGTGGATTGTATATTCGTTTTTGGTTCTTTGTACAAAGTTCATAACCGTTCTCTTATTTGTACATTCTTTTATCACATGAGTACACATTTTGAAAAATCGATGTCAAACCTTTACAGAAAAAGACTTTCGTTGATTGAAATAAGAGATGATTAACATTGCTAATTATTCATAACAAATGAAAGATGATCTTGCCGGATATTATTTATGAATGAAACGCAATATTTCATGGATTTTTACGACGAGATTATATGGTTGAATACACGTGTTCTTTCTGGATTGTTAATCAAATAGGACGAGGAATGATTGGCAAATATATCAAGTATTTTTTTAATCTTGATCCAATACAGAATGATCAACAAGAAAAGAAAATGTTGGCATGAAAAAACCCTCTATGGAAATCAACAAAAAAGACCGTTTATTTTTGGTACAGGATTGAAGAGATGCTCGCGTTAAAATTCTTTTGTTTACTCTACTAACAAAAGTCTGTCTGTCTGAGAGATGCTGAGGAATCGAACAAGAATCAATAGAAGAAAACAGCATGTTATTGATGACAAAATCTTATTTGATTATCATCTAAGCGACATCTTTGATAAGGGAAGCAACATTTACACACTTGTTCAAGTATATTCTTCTAGATTGGTTCCATTTTATATCCATCCATTGACAAGCGAGTCGTCGACAACAAGAAGTAGTAGTTCCTATGATTCGCTAATAACTATTTTTATTCCGGAAATAATCATCGAATAATTCGTTTAGAAAATTGTTCGTTCCTTTTTTTTTCTTCTATTCTTATTCTTAATCTTTTTGTATGTTACTCATCATGTTTTTTTTCTCGTTAATCTCCTAGATGTATCAATGAATTAAATAACCCGGTAACTCTCCAACATTCTCACCCTCAATATGCAAAAGACAACGACATTGATTTCACTTGGTTCGACCGATAAGACTCAAAAGACGCGTTCCGTAAGTTTCTCATTACGTGCAATTATTTTTCAAATAAATGCGAGGAAAGACTCTTATTGACGTTCGCTTATCTTCAAGCAATACCACTCTTCTTTATTTCCATCATTACCATCTAATGAAGTATATGTTCTGTTTTCCGGTCGAATACTAAGAGGGAAGTTGAACTTACTTCTTTTTTTTTTCTTCTTCTTTCTATTTCCTCATTCTTCTTTCACACTTTGCTCATCTTCTACGTCTATTTACTCAAAGATCCGTCATTATCGGTAGTCTAGAGTTTGAGACTAATGGATAACAATACACCATTGTTGACTATATTTGACTCTTTCGTACGTCCCTATGCTAATGAATCACAAATACGATCGCGGAGACCGTCATTCAATAACGAGCAGGTGAGTGATTCGACAATAATAAATCAGAAAAGGTTTTTCTAGTTTCCTATCGAAGCAGTTCTTTTATTGTATCGTTCTAATGGTATTCATGACGATAGGGTTCAAATGTCGTGATTGACTAATTGAGAACGCAAAAAGATTGTTTTTTTTTCATGCTTTTCTTTGCATTGAAAATAGGAGCACGTCTATTCATCTGTGTCCTTCAAAAGAAATGTACATCTATACATTATTTTTTCTTCTTCGTTTATTTTCAATAAGGATACCCCTGAAAGGACGAAACACCCGGGCGAAAAAAGAGAAGAAAAAACATATTATTTTTGTTCTGAATTTGTTGTCGTCATCATAAAAAGTATCAAAGTAACATTTGATGGTTATTCTTACAACTGATTTGACCTGACGATGGGTGACGAAAAAAGTAAAAAGCCGTTGCGATTGAAAACATTCGGGGAGTTGCAAAACGATTCTGTCTACGAAATCCATCTCCTTCCGCGAAAGCGCAAAACAACAGTAAATAAATCGAGTGCACCAGCTACCCCAAATGGAGACGACGAGCACGATGCAGATGATCGAGTGAGGCAAATTATAAACTTTTTCGTCTTTCTATACATGCTTTAAAATTATATCAGAACAATTTCAAATGAATTTTTGTTACTTAGGTTCCTAGTGATTCGGATAATGGTGATGATTCAGACGAAGAAGTATCGGGAGTAGCGAATGAAAAGTCAAAAACAACAGCTGGTCAAAAGAAACCAAAACAAAGAAAAGTTAGAGAGTAAACTTACTTTACTATATTTATTACTTTCGTAATGTGATTCAGACATACAATGCACATATCTTACCAATGATATTCAGTGAAGATCAGTCAAAACCAATGATAACTCTAGCTAATTACTTGATGAAACGACGGAAATGGCCGTATCAAGGTTGGCATAAACGATTTTTCAAGTTAGAAAATGGTATTATGATTTATGGTAAATCTGAACAGAGTGTAAGTTGCAAATGTTTCATCTTGGATATGAATACAAACTTTCTCTTTGTATTTGAAGGTAAAACGTGATCGTCTAAATGGTAAATGCGATATTGGGTTATGTATGGTTACGTATATTCGGGAATCTCAACGAATAAATATCGATGAAACGAACTGTGTTTATCATTTGAAGATCAAAGAAAAGAAATTGTTCGATCAATGGTTAGACCAAATAGCCATACACAGAAAATATCGGCAAGGAATACTAGAACAACGATCTTTTACCATACCCAAGGATAATACAAATCATTCGAATGAAAATCAAGCGGTTAATAAGTAACATCTAATTTTAAACAAGATTAGTGTAGGCTAAAGAATTTGTTTTAGTACTTTGTCGACTGATCAACTTTTTTACAATGGTAATAGATGGATTTATATTGTTTATGTTCTCATTTCTTGCATCTAGATTTTTCTGATGTTCAAATACAACTGAGTAACCTATCGGACATTCTGGAAAATATCAAAATCAATGCTAATAGCACCTCGGTGTCTAGTTCGTCTTCGAAATCAACTGTAAATATACTGATACAATTCGTTGACAGTAATCTTGATTAATTTGACTTAGGATGGAACAAGATCGATTGGTCACACTCCATCAGCTAGCATCAGTAGTCTAAATTCAAGTACAGTATTGGATCTTCAACGACAAGATTATTATAATATAGCTAAAAAAGGTTGGAGTTACATTTAATGACTTATACGATTCATAGATTCAGTTCGATTCTAGTTTTTGATAATTTGAATAACTTGCAAAAACGTTTGTCTGTATTTGCTTTGGAACAACAACAACAACAACAATCATTGGTAGATGCTCAATACTTTGTTATTATCGTAATACAAAAATAAGTTGTGTTTTTCTTTTTCGTAGAATAATTCCTTGACTTCGGAGGGTGAACATGGTTATCATTCAATTTCATCTCGTGCGACTATCTCAAGAGAAGGATCAATTTTTTATGATGCACCCGAAGCTCTCAATGCAATACTCTTAAATGATAACAAAGATGAAATAGAAAAATTAGTATGTAGAGCACGGAAACATTCTCAAATAAAATAATTAGAAGCTAAGATGTGTGTGACATTACGATAGAAGATACTTTGAACTAGAATTTCCAGAAAATATGATGATGTCGAACATTCACATTGTGCGAAGCGAAAGAGTCAGTAATGGAATGTACTAGGCGAGGAGAAAGTTTATTTAATTTGCTAAGAAGAGCCAATATATCAGCAGAAAATTTGGTATTTTCTCGACTGTACCGCCTATTCTCGTTATCGGTATGACATTTTGCACTCTCGAGGTAGTGAGAGGGTCTCATTTAGAAACAACTAGTTAGAAGTCAGGAAACAGTCATTTTGTCGGTTTCTGACGTTCATTTGTATCTAGTCTGATTCCGAATCATCAAGCTATGGTGATGATGAAAGTCATCCTGACAATATCGAACGGCAATCATCTGTTCCACCGCAGCTAAGTAAGTGGAATAATTCTTCTTCAAATTTCTGTTTTATTCATTTTTTCCAGAACCTCCTCAAATGAAATGGCGTCGTTCATCATTAAGTGCATGTGCACCGGATACTTCCAATGTGGGTCTATGGAATATAATGCGAAAAGCAATTGGCAAAGATTTGTCTCGAATAGCATTGCCAGTCATTTTGAATGAACCATTGGGTGTTTTGCAAAAGTTATGTGAGGAAATGGAATATTCGGATTTACTTGATCGAGCCGCTCAAACAGACGACGTTCATTTACGTCTTGTGTATGTCGCTGCGTTCATTGTTTCGACATATGCAGCTAACTATTACCGCACGGGGAGAAAAAACTTCAATCCACTCCTAGGTGAAACATATGAATGTATACGAGATGATAAAGGATGGAAATTTATCGCTGAACAAGTAAAAGAATAACGATGGAAGATGAAAATGTGAATTCGTGGAGATTTTAGGTTAGCCATCATCCACCAATTAGTGTTTGCACATGCGATTCACCAAATTTTATTTATTCGCAAAGTATGTGGAAAAGGATTGAAGTTGACAAAGATCGAGTATTCTTTTGCGTTTAGAATTACAGGTGAAAATCAAATTTTGGGGAAAATCTATGGGTAATGTTCTCAGACGAATTCGAATTAATCTGCATCATTTTCTTCTACTTCAACAGAAATCTTTCCTGATTCGAAAAATGTCTTATTTTTTCCGAAATACAATGAAACAATCACATGGAATAAGTGTAAAATGTGCATACATAATGTTCTCTCCTCGGAGCGATGGATTGATCATTACGGTGATGTTCTCGTTGAGAGTTCCTTAGGAGCAAAAGCTCGAATCAGTTTTATTCAAGTTCGTACACATTCTATTCAAATGTCATCTGTATGAATGTATACAATTTTAGAGTGATTATCGAACACGATTGAATAATGTTGCCGGTGATATTGAAGACGCTCAAGGTAATGTAATACACAAAATCTTTGGCCATTGGCACGAAGAAGTCTTTTGTGGAAATGATCAAACAGCAAAATGTATTTGGCGACAAAGTAAGAAACTCAATCGACAATTATTGTTCTGTCTTAAAAGCTTTGTTATTGCTCGATAATATGATTGTTTTTAATTGAATTTTTATATAGGCGCTGTTCCAGAGAATTCCAAACAATATTACGGTTTTACTCGATTTGCTATTGAACTGAATGAACTTGATGATGATCTTCGTCAACAATTACCACCCACAGACACACGTTTTCGACCTGATCAACGGTAAATGTACTTCTACTCATCATTTCTATACTTCTAATCGTTCTACGTGTTCACTTAGTTATCTTGAATCAGGACAAGTTGAACTAGCTGAGAAAGAGAAAGCTCGTCTTGAAGAAGCTCAACGTTCACGTTCCAGTTCTGCCGTCAGTCCAAAATGGTTTGCTGCAAATGGTGATTCGTACGAGCTTATCCGTGAAGAAGATCCTTCACATTCCTATTGGAAAAAGCGTGAAGAACATTGGGCTCGTGTTGATTTCGTACCATTATGGTAGATCAACATAGAAACTCTAATGTTTAATCGGCAATTTCCATCTATACTCTGCTTACTAGTCATATATTCCTGTTTCTTTCACGGAACTTCCCGTTAAATTTATGACAATGTCTTGCTAAAATGGAAAACACAATGATAAGAGAAATTTTTGTGTGGAAATTTTCTAGGATCCTCGGCTTCTCCTTTAGAGTGCTGTAATTTGTTTTATTTTATTTTTCAAATTTTAATCGATTGTATTTGGTTTGTTTTTATAAATTAATTAAGCGAGTCATATTCAGCTATGCTGTCTGAAATGTCAACTGGCTAATCTTATTTTGTAACTTAATATTTATTTTTAAAGATTTCTCGCTTTTTGACAAATATGAGTCGACGATCAGATTCGCGTCCGGAGAAATTCAATGATGATTATAAAAAACGAGTGAGTTCTGTGCAATCCAATATTCATCAGATTGTCCTCAAAAAAATCTTCTTCATGATCTCGTTCTGCGCCCTGAAGCAAAGTGTAAATAAATGAGTAGTCGTCCTAGTGCAATGTGGAGAACATTCGCCTACGCAGATAACAACATGACTTGCGACAATTAGCCTGGAGTGCGCGTTTTATTATCTTAATTACCGAGTAAAGCGACAAGTGATGCATGAGGAGTACAGGATTGAAAAGTCAAAGGTCTTCTAATTCTCGAGAGAAAATAGAACACTGTTGGAAGAAATGTTCATTATTGATTTCTATTTAGCCGAAGATTAAACGATCAAGTCGGTCACGGTCGCGCTCTCCACTCTCACATCACTCGTCGTATGGTATCACCAGTGAATCGTACAGTAGTAATCGTAAGCAACGTTCAGACCATCACCGACATTTTCAACCATCATCATTATCATCGTCGTCGTCGAAATCAAACGGATTTATTCCTGATGAAGAAACGAAGAAGTTCTACGAGAAACCAACCGGTAGCGAAACGGGCTTTTGGACGTCGGAAGATTATACATTTCGTGATATGATTGCCAAAGATGTTCGCAATGAAATCGAAGATGATATTGCAAGCAAAGGTTCCGACGAGGAATCTGAAGTAGATTCTGAACTTGCTGATTATGCCGATCGTGCTGATCTCGATGATGACGATGATGATGAGCAGAAGAAAACTATCGTTGAACGTCTCATACCAATGAAAAAAGACGAAGAAAACAGCAAACATCTCAAGACCGATCAGGTTCTCGCACGAGACAAATCATCGTAATTTTCGTGTCTTTCGTACATTATTTTGCTGCTAACTATACATTCATTATATGCAATTTGTTCGGATGAAAATAGGATGATGAATCAAAGCCTTTTGTCTGCAATTAATCATCATGAAAAATGTTCACTACATCAAAAAGTAGTGTTTCCACTCGTGTTGTTTTTCTACATCATACGAAAGAAACTGATCTCAACTATGTTCAAATCATCTGCTATCGTATGCTCATCTTTCATTCATTAATATGAATGAGACAGTCTAGATCATCTTTCTTCTGAGAAATAATTCTATTATTTATTTGTCATTTATTTCATATTAAGCTTTTCACATACAATGTATCCTCTATTTCACTAGTTCAAAGCTTTCTTCTCCAACGAATGGATCTATTCTCTGCTTAAAATCATGACTGACACAAATATCTATTTCTAAATCATGAATATTGACAACACTCGTCGAAGGTATACACAACCTAAGATCAATAGCAAAGTTAACTTCAATATTGATTACAGAAAATAATCGAGAAACAATTGCGCATGTAGATTTTTCTCGTTTCTGGTTCGATGTCATGATCGGATGAGCATAGCGATCAAATTGCATGATGACGTTATCTGTAGTTCAAATAAGGTCTTCTTTCAATGAGTAAATCGATCTTGTCAATGCAGATGTCAATCTTTCACACAAACATTTGGACTACATCGTGTCCTCGACAGGAGTATCAACATATACAACTTCATTGACGTCTGCAAGCATAAAGGGAAAGTGTGTGACGTCGAGTAGAAACATCACGTAAGTACACACTGTATTTGAATATAGAAAAAAAAACGAGAAAATAAAACAAGTTGGTTTTTCTTCGTATTTATGATCGAAAGTAAACATCATGAGTACATAAAAGAGCGATTGAGGCGAGAAATGTAACTATATTGTGTAACTAGAATATTTATAAAATAAAAAATTTTATTGTGTTTCTCTTCAAAAGACTTTCAATTCAAATAAATATCTCATCGAAGAAGAATATTGACAGGTATGAAGATAAGAAAGATTACTCATAAAATTAGTCAGTTTATTGGTGTTGTTTTGCGTCTTTTCAGAATGTGAATACATAATCTAGGTCAAGGTATGTGTCACACAGAACTTGAATACAAATATTTTCTAGTCTCAATCGGAAACGTTTCTGTTTACACGCTAACAAATGAATATTAGAAAATTTTCCCCTTGACAGTGCAAAAACAAAAGGATTCCACGTGTGTGAAAGCCTTGCAACATGATGATAAACTCATCATTTAAAAAATAAAGGACGATTGGTTGCGCTTAGTAGGATTGCTACATTACTCATTTGCTGATATATAAGAATTGTTTATTATATTTCTTCTTGTTTTGACGTTCATCATTCTCCATCCGTGAGTATGGAGGCGTTTAGTAGAGAAATGAGACTAATGCCTGATGATGACTGCTGCTTATCATATCTTTCCAGTTCCTCTTTTTCTAATATATTTTCTCTCTCAGTTTTTTTTTCTTCTTTTTCTTCTTCAAGCTTTGTCTTTTATCCGTTGAAGAAGGAGAAAGAAATGTCACATTCGAGAAAAGTCGGTGATGCACATACACATAGTTAAGATAATATCATTGAAAAGTAAAACTAATTATTAATGAACGCGCTTTCACAGTTCGCATATCGATATTGAATTAGTTTTTTCGAAGTCTCTTGTTATGACACTAATCCGATATTCTTTATTATACTTAAGATGTGCTCCTAGCTCAATTCTAAGCTTGTAACGTACCGACTCTTACATTATAATAATGATTACCATTGAGTATCGAGTTTGTATGAAAACCATCGATATTTTTTTTTCTTTCCGTGCGTTTTTTTACTATTTCTACGCGCAAACATAAACAAGTGCAAGAAAATAGAATGATTTTTTCTTTTTTTTTACAATCAGGAAACCCTAGTCTTTCCTTTACTATTCTTATCTCACCATTTGTTCATCCAGAAACAGTAGGCTACTCAATTCAATCATTCACTCAAAAAGAACCAGCTTTTTACTGTGTTTTTGATCTTGCACTAGTCTGTGACGATGGCGCACAGGACAGGAAACGTGTTTTTTTTCGAGTAATCGTGTCCTCACTGCCATGCAATCAAATGTATATCACACCTTGATTAGTCAAAATACACCTCAGTAGGTGTAGTAGCATATTTCTTTGCTGTTTTACTTCCGTGGATTTTATCTCTCGTCACGTCTCGAGTACGCGTCAGGTGAACGCTGTTTTTCGTTTTGGATCAAATTAATAGTCTAATATGCGACAGGTTAAGAAAAAACGTGCGAAATCTTTCGATTTCATATGATCGCCCTCAGAAACCAAGGACGTTCTTTGCTATCCTCGTAGGTGTCCGAAGAGAGTAGTAAATGACTTTTATAGACTTATACATCTGCGTAGACACTTGTGTTCGAACTAAGCATACATTGGTATTTACCTTTTCTCTTCGCAACTCGCATCGTAGCTGGTTATTAATCAAATATGGTTTGTCCATTGACGTCAGAGATGAAGAAAAGAGAACGAAAAGCGTCGATCGTGCAGAATAAGTAGTTCGACCTGCGAAATATTTCAATCACATTTTTAATTAAACTCAGTTTTGTTTCAGAAGGCGTAGACTGTATTTTGGTTGTTTACGTGTCGATCAATTTCTCCTTTTTGCTTTCATTTCAAGATTGGTTTTTTACTTTGATCGGTATCAGTGAATGGTCTGTTCATGGGGAATCAATTCAGTACAGCGACGCTGGACGACGCTACCCTGGCACTAATTAAACGGAAAACCCGGATGAAATCTTCTGAAATCACCAATTGGTATAACGAGCTCAAGGTAAAAACGACGATAATTATTCATGTTGACATACAACTAACATGAATGCAGATTTATTCAAAACTTTCCTATGTCAGACAACTTGTAATACTACCATTAAAGTTACGAATAGCTTTTCTAACTAGTTAAATGAATCATGACATCGTATTCCGGGTACAATGTCTTTAGCTTATCAAAATTCGAGGGAAAAAATACACTAGACGGTGTGTCGGCATAGATTGGTTTGTTTTGATATGTTTACAAAAGAAAACAGGCGACAAATTCAATTAACCAACTCCGAGCAGATTGTGTTACCTGTCTGATTAATTTCAATAGAATTTTTTATGCTTCGAGTTGAACTGAGAAGAGACATGAACTTATTAATGGAAATCTCTCTTGAATGAAATTGTTCACGTCGAAGAATATTTTCTTAATCTTTCTTGACTCGCGATAAAACTCGACAGCAACCATTGGATGAGTGTCAACAGAAAATTCTAATTCAAAAGCAAGTTCTGTTCTACTACCTACGATTTTCGTTTCAGTCTCGGTGCTCGAATGGAAAGATGTCGAAAAGAGATATGATCAAATGTTACAAAGAATTGAGTACATGTGACGCTGATAAAGTTGAGCATGTTGTCAACGCGATTTACCAAGCATTCGATGTAGATAACGATGGAAAAGTTGGTAAGAATATTTCTTAACGCTGACCTAATCTTCTTACTTGCTTTCAAATATTCACATTGTAGACTTCAAAGAATTTGTCATTGGATTCTTATTGACAACGAAAGGAACAATCGAAGAAAAACTCGACTATACCTTTCAACTCTATGGTAAAAACATTACTCGTCGAAACCTTTGTTTACGAAATCCTATGTTTGTATAGACATCGACAAAGACGGGTTCATCGATCAATCGGAAATTGACGTTATGGCCAAGGTAGAGAAATCTACATTGATCGTTTAGAATGAATAGCTAAATGTATTTCTTTTGCTAGTATGTTATGCGAATGCTAGGTGGCAACGGAAACGAATTTGGATCGATAGAATTGCTCAAACATTTCATTAGTTCTTGCCATTGCAATGAACAAGGTCTGATTACAAAAGACAGTTTCGTACGAGCTTTATCGAAAAATGAACTACTATGTCAATTATTATCTCCTTTTACTTAAAAATGAACGAATCTCATGTACGAACAGAACATGCAAAAAAGCTTCCTTTTGTAGGCGAAACACAACAAATGGTTGTACATGGTTTCTGTCTTGCTTATTATTTGTGTATTTTTTTGTTTTTTCTTCGTTTCCGAATGGCATTACTAGAAAGAAAAGAAAGAAATGTCATGCAAACGAATTTCACGATTGAAATGAAGTGTTTTCGTTATGCAATACAGATATAAACTTCAAACAATCTTATTGAGCTGATTGTGTTAGAACTCGATGAGATGTTGCACAGCAATGTTATGTAGTCGGAATAGAACTGAGATAAATTATTATTAAATGAGACAGAATCAGGCGATATGTGCATGTCAAAAGGAAGTCTACGAAAAAAACAAAAATCCAGATATAGAGTAAACAAATTTGATCACTAACAAAACTAATCGTAGCAACAGAGATTTGGTTTCGATTGTCAAGGTCGATAGAGAAAACCGCGCATTTACATTTCTATCTCTGTTTTCATTAAGTTATTCTCATTTATCTGAACGATTACTTCTGTATACGTTAATTATTATGCAATACCATCTCGTCGGTCTCCTCTTTGTTGTCTTCCTTGTTGTCGGCTTATTTAATGGTATAGTTGATGCCCGATCTCATCATCACAGATCAGGAAAGTTACCGATGAACCATCGTCGACACGCTCATCACAAACGTTCTGGACATCACGCAAGATTGGGATAAAACTAAATTCTATTTATCAACACTTTTTGTATTCTGTTTCATCGGACAAAAAGATATCATGCATTTTGCATTGTGTAATAAAAACTAATAAATTAATAGCGAAGTTATGAAATCGAATCGTTTAGAGTTGAAAGCAGATCTGAATAAATCTTGATCGAGTTTCTTTTATTTGAAAACAAAGAAGAAATTGTCATACAGAAGCAACTTGCAGAAACCTGCGAATCTTCTTTAAAGATCAGTGTATATAAAGTCCTTGATAAACTTTATATAAAAATATGT